TGACCCTGAGTGCGTCTGCATGAAGACTCCGATCTTTGCGTGACTCCATGCGTTGTGGGATGGTTGGGGAACTCGTTCAGATATGCACCGTCTTCTGAGCGGTGCCTGGAACCGACTGTCTCAGCTTCCCGAGTCCAGAGTTTGGTCCGACATTCGGGGTACAGCTTCGGTCCTAATGGCCACTATGATAAGGACCGGGTGGACTGCTGAGTCTCCCACCCGATTGGGTGCCTGAGGGGCCTCGTGGGCATAGAGAACTCGTGCCCCGAAGCGGGTGGCCCATTGGCTGATAGGGCAACGGGGAGGTGCCTCTGGCGACAAGGCCTTACGAAGCACAAGTCGCGGGCCGCCTGATGTCCTCAGCCTCCCCTTCTATGCCCCCTCAGATCATTGCTCCTGCCACCTTCGCTGGGGACTTATTGGACCTTGCAGCAAGAGGGGCTCCTCAAATGTATGCTGATGGGTTCTGGTCGCAGCAACGCTTATATGACGCAAGGGGGGCGTCAACCCGAATTGCTTAGCGTGTGGTGAACTAGGCATGTGCCAGCAGCGATTCTGGGGGGGGGCCCTACGCATTATCACGTTCGCAATGGATATACAGCCGGGTACCCACCTGGTGAATAGTGGCACGGCTGACCAGTTCCTGATATGGACACGCTGTTTGGTTGCCGATCCTGCTTGGTCTTTCCCAGACCCTTGTCTCGAAGAGTAGGCTGTTGCGACGCTGCGATCCTCGGATCGGCTCTCGGACGCCATTGCCTTCGGTGGCGGCTCTGGGCCAGGACCACAAGTTGGTTGCTCGCAAGCACGGCCCTCTGTCCGCATGCGTCCGGACTGTGCCTGCCGCTGAGGTGTCTGCCTCCCCGGTGGCATTGAGGTATAGGAGCGCGCAGCTTCGGACTGACTTCCGCCGGAAAGCCGCTCGTGGGCACCTGAGCTCTAGGATTAAGTCGGGCCTGTCCCCTTACAGGGGGATTTTCAACGAAAAATAAGAAATACCCAAACATAATCAAAAAATAGTCTAAAAATAGCCTGGGGTCTATTCTTTTTTTAAATGTTTTTTGATATTTTTGGTGTATTTTTGGGGTATTTGTAATTTTTCGTCGAAAATCCCCCTGTAGGGGGACACGCCCGACATGACTCTAGGAGTCGGTGCTGGCACGGCGGCTACGGACCCCATACCGCATCTCTGGAGGGAGGTGTGGGGAATTGTGCTGGACGTGGGGGCAGAGTCTTCGGAAGCTCACCGCGTGTATGCTTACATGCCTGAGCCCGCAGCTGGAGACGGCGCGATCACTGCACAGCAGCGCCCTGGAAATCGACGGGGGGATGAGTGGGCCGGAGGAGGGGCCATTGTGCGTCCCCGCCCCTCTGATGCCCTCCTCGAGGCCAACTCGCGCTGCCTGTTCTCGACTGCCAAAACGGGCGAGGGGGGAGAGAAGCAACGGGAGGAGGAGGAGAGAGGAGGGAGGAGGAGGAGGAGGAGGAGGAGGAGAGGAGGAGGAGGAGGAGGAGGAGGAGGAGGAGGGAGGAGGAGGAGGAGGAGGAGGAGGAGGAGGAGGAGGAGGAGGAGGAGGAGTGGAGGAGGAGGAGGAGGAGGAGGAGGAGGAGGAGGAGGAGAGGAGGGGAGGAGGAGGAGGAGGAGGAGGAGGAGGAGGAGGAGGAGGAGGAGGAGGAGGAGGAGGAGGAGGAGGAGGAGGAGGAGGCCAATGCCCGTCGAGATGGTGGTCCAGATTCTGTGCTCGAGCTGCCTCCCGAAGAGGTTCAACGGCCCCTGCGGACGCGAAGCCCCAGGCCCTCGGCAGGGTCGTGGGCACCCTCGAGCAGGGCTTGGGCCCCCGAGGACCCCTCCCAGGCACGGCCCTCCCCCTCCTCCTCCTCTCCTCTTCCTCCTCCTCCTCCTCCTCCTTCGCCTCCTCCTCCTCCTCCCCTCCTCCTCCTCTCCTCCTGCGCCCTCCTTCCTCCTCCTCCTCCTCCTCCTCTCCTCCTGCGCCTCCTCCTCCTCCTCCTCCTCCTCCTCCTCCTCCTCTTCCTCCTCCTCCTCCGGCAGCATGGGCGGCTCTGCTGTATGATCTGCCTTCGGTCTGCTGCCGCGACCGACCGTGCGCAAGCGCAAGTGCCCGGGAGAAGCTGGACAGCACGCGCTCCACCGTGCGGTGCCTCTCTGCTTCTGCTCGGTTTTTGCGGGGCCTTCTCTGCCCAGCACTCCTGTGGCCTGTCCGAACAATGCCTGCTGGCCAGCGGACGGCTGGGCGGCATGATCAAATGTTCGCATTCGTAGCACTTCCAGAATCTGTTCAGAGGCTGTCACTCCAAATCAGGCGCATCTCCTGGCCTGCCAGCACTGCTGCGCGCAAGGAAAGATGCCGTGTCGGCTCAGATGCCGCCGCGTCCTCCTCTCACGCCACTGGGGGGGGAGTGGGGGAGTGGACGGGGCAAGAATACACTCATCTCCTTGACGCTCACGCCGACGCGGCCTTCTAGGTAGAGCACGCCTGCCTTGCCGAAGCCAGCGACTCGGGCGACTCTGGTCGAGTCACCGCTGTTGGCATGTCTCTCTGTTATGCTGACCATCACGCTTGCGGCTGGTCTCTGTCAGGTCAAGAGCTCCACCTCCTGCTCCTGCTCCTGCCCCTGCGCCGCGGACGCGCGTCCGCCCAAGCACTTCGATCTCGGGAGCCGGCGCAGCCCTCCAACCCCGAGAACGGCTCACCACCATGGCGACTGCCGCCCCCCTTGGGGGAGAGGGGCTGTGCCAGCCTGGGCCTGTAGGTTGCAGATGCCTGGGACCGCGGCGGAGACCGCGACGATGACGGCGTCCACCGCGACGATGACGACGTCCTCGTGCTCCTGCTCCTCCTCCTCCTCCTCCTGCGCCCCTGGGCCCTCGAGTCCGAGGAGGGCCCCGAGGCGAGCGGTCCGAGTGCGCACCGACGCAGCCGCCCGACGCGGCCGCCGACGCGCGCGGCCGAATTCAGCCTCTGCAGAATCCTTCTCGCCCTCCTCCTCCTCCTCCTCCCCCTCCTCCTCCTCCTCCTCCTCCTCCTCCTCCTCCTCCTCCTCCTCCTCCTCCTCCTCCTCCTCCTCCTGCTCCTCAGCGTTCCCCCACCGGAGGCTGGGAGCCCACTCCTCCTCTTGCTCTCCCTCGTCACCCCCGCCACTCCCAAAGAGCCCCTGGCGGCTCCGGGCCGCCAGAGTGTCGGCATCCGATCGGATCGGGCCAACCTGAATCGATATCGGATCTGGCCATCGCTCGGACGTCCATTCCCTGTGCCTTTTTCGGTTTCGTGCGTGGCTTTTTCGCCAAAGGATCAAGGATGCTCCTCGATGGTCCTCGTCGAAGGAAAAATGCACACGTCCGAGCGATGCCCAACGGATCGGATTGATCGGGCCGGAGCGGATTCTGGCGTGGCCTCGACCTCGGAACACGTCGGGGAAAGCAAACAGATACAGCTATACCGCTGCCCCCAAAAGAGGCCCCCAAAAGAGGCCCCCAAGGGGCCTCAGGACTGCCCCCAAGGGGCCCCGGAGAGCGCTCCGGAGAGGCCCCAAGAAGCAGCCCTGAGGACTCTGACCCCCGGGCCCACGCACGGTGGCGGGATGGGCCGAAGGCCACTGCAGTCGAGACGCTGCCGTAAGGCGAAGGAGCGAGGCCTCCTTTCTCCGTAAGGAAAACCTCGATTTCCCCATAAGAGGACCCGAGGAACACCTAAGGCAAACGGTCAAACGGTCAAGGAGCACCGAGCCCCTCCCAAACGAAAAAGGGCTCCTGCTTCAGCGCCCCGACCGTAGATGCTGCTGCCGCTGCTCCCCGAAGGACCCCAGACGCACCCCGGGGCACGCTCTGGCCAGGATCCCGAGGCGTGCCCCGCCCTGGCGACGAGGGGCGGGCACCCCTTCCTCCTCGGACCGTCGGCCCGCGGGTGCGGGGCAACGATGAGGGGGGGGGGGGGACTGGCAACGGGGGGGACACATCTACAGTCGGGGCCTTGACCCAAGGAACCCTAAATAAGGAACGAGGCCTCTTTTTTTCCATAAGTTGAACTTCGATTTCCGATCGAAAACCAAAGGAAAACCTGAGGCAAGCTGCGAAACACTTAAGGAACGCGGAGCCCCTCCCCAACGAAAAGGGTTCCTTCTTCAGCGCCCCGACTGTACCCCCAGAGATCCAGCGCATTGACACAAGCAAGACGGGAGATTCCTTTCGCAACTCTCGGCCTCCAGGGGCCCTCGCTGGGCCCTGGGACCGTCAGAAACGAGGGCTCGAGACGTCTGGGGGCCCTGCACCGCAAAAATCACGGCGTCGGATCCCTGGGCCTGGACTCGGCGATGTACATCGCCCGTGCCGGGCGATCAGGGGGGCGACACTGGGGGGGGCGATGCGTCCCCCCCCCTACTTGGACGCCTGGACTCAGCGATATACATCGCCCGTGCAGGGCGATCAGGGGGGCGACACTGGGGGGGGGCGATGCGCCCCCCCCCCCCCCCCATTTGGACGCCTGGACTCGGCGATATACATCGCCCGTGCAGGGCGATCAGGGGGCGACACTGGGGGGGGGCGATGCGTCCCCCCCCCCCCCCCTATTTGGACGCCCGAAATGGGTACGGAAAAAATGGGTACAATGCCCAACAACAAATGCTGTCCCAAACCGACAGCGGCTGCTGTTGGGCAGGCGGCCTTCTGTCTCACATGGACACAGGCCGCGGCGGAGCGGACAGCGAGCCCTGTTCAAAATGAACGGGAACTGCTGTTGGGCATTGTGCCCATTCTTTCCGTGCTAGGGGGCCACATGCGAACCCTACCCCTACCCCCTACGATTTCTGAGGGAGAGGGAGGGGTTCACTTCGCTCGGGAGCTCCCGAACGAAGTGAACCCCACCCTCCCCCTCAGAAATCGTGGGGTGTAGGGGTAGGGTTCGCATGTGGCCCCCGACGTGCCCAGTTCGTTCGTGCAGACCCTATGCCTTACTCGCCCCTAGCATCGCCCCTGGGCGCGGGGCCTTGACGTTGGACACGTCGGCGGCCGTGACGACGCCGGCGACCCACTCGCCGCCGCGGCAGCCGTCGGAGCGGACCAGCAGCTCGCTGCCCACCTGGAGCGCGGCGCGCCAGCCCTCCGCCTCGGCCAGCGGCGAGGCGCCGATAGGCGGAGGTGCCGCGGAGGGGGTGGGCCTGACTCCGGATCCGCCCCACTTTGGGGAAGTTCGTACGTAGGGCTTGGAATTTCCGCCTTGCTTTTCAAGCCCCGCTGATGCCAATTTCCGCCCTACTTTTCTGTTGCTGTTTCCGCCCTACTTATGTGGATTCCCGCCCTATTCTATATTGGGTGCAGACATTTCCGCCCTACTTTTTCGGCTTCTTATAGGTGGGTTTCCGACGCAATTTCAAGTTGGAATTATCTTGGCGAAGAACCCGACCATATGCAGTTGTGGGCACCGCAATTGTGAAAATCTTCTTCGGTGAAACTCCCTATGGGGCCACGAAGCGCTGCACTGGGTGGGGGGGAACGCTGTTCTGGGTGAGAGGTGTGTCAAGTAAGGTTTCCAGGACGCATGCGGACGGTCCCACTGGGGGCTTCGGTGGAGCTCCCTATGGGGCCACGAAGCGCTGTACTGGGTAAGTGAAAATGCCAAATTGGGCTTCCGCGGCGCATGCGGACGGTCCCACTGGAGGCTTCGGTGGAACTCCCCATGGGGCCACAAAACGCTGTACTGGGTGGGTGAAAATGCCAAATTGGGCTCCGGGGACGCATGCGGACGGTCCCACTGGGGGCTTCCGAAACGCTGTACTGAGTGGGGGGGGGACGCATGTGGACGGTAGCACTGTGACCTTCGGTGGGGCTCCCTATGGGGCCACGAAGCGCTGTACGGAGTGGGGGGGACGCATGTGGACGGTGGCACTGGGGCCTTCGGTGGAGCCCTATGGGGCCACACACGCAAGCACGAGTGTGCTGTGAGTGGGGAGACGCATGTGGACGGTGGCACTGGGGCCTTCGGTGGAGCTCCCTATCACGCAAACGTGTACTGAGTGGGGGGGACGCATGTGGACGGTGGTGGCGGTGGACTATGGCCACGGTGGAGCTCCTTCGGTGGATGGGGCCACGAAACGCTGTACTGAGTGGGGGGGACGCATGTGGACGGTGGCACTGGGGCCTTCGGTGGAGCTCCCTATGGGGCCACGAAACGCTGTACTGAGTGGGGGGGACGCATGTGGACGGTGGCACTGGGGCCTTCGGTGGAGCTCCCTATGGGGCCACGAAGCGCTGTACTGAGTGGGGGGGACGCATGTGGACGGTGGCACTGGGGCCTTCGGTGGAGCTCCCTATCATGGGGCCACGAACGCGCTGTACTGAGTGGGGGGGACGCATGTGGACGGTGGCACTGGGGCTACCTATGGGGACACGAAGCGCTGTACTGAGTGTGGGGGACGCATGTGGACGGTGGCACTGGGGCCTTCGGTGGGGCTCCCTATGGGGCCACGAAGCGCTGTACTGAGTGGGGGGGACGCATGCGGACGGTGGCACTGGGGCCTTCGGTGGAGCTCCCTATGGGGCCACGAAGCGCTGTACTGAGTGTGGGGGACGCATGTGGACGGTGGCACAGCGGCCTTCGGTGGAGCTCTTCTGTTTCCTGCGATTGCTGAACCTCCCGTCGACGTGCTCAGCGTCGTCGCGCGATCGGGGTGCGCGCGCGGCGCTGATCGGACGAGCGCGGCCCGCCCTGCACATTCTCAAGATCGAATCTCCGGCGCGCCCCGGCCGCCGAGACAACCGGCGTCGATGCCCAAGGGAACGGACAAGCTTTGCCAGCGCCTGCGCGAGCATTCGGGGGGCGCTTGGGGGGGGGGCGGCGGGCCGCGCAACGCAGCCCGCCGAGGGTGAAGGGGCCCCAGGACACAAATAAATACACACAAATACAAATACCCCCCACATTTCCCCATATTTTCGTTTTTTTTGTCTTCGCCCCCACTTCCCATATTTTTCCACATCTTCTGGGAATCGAGGGGTAATCGTGCCTGTGTGTGTTTTTTTCCCTCCTGAGAGGGAAGGGCCCCCGCCGCGCAGTGGACGGCGCCGTGCGCGGGCGGCGCGCCCGAGGAGGCAGACGCCGAGGCCCTGCCCGCGCGCTCCGCCGACGGGCCGGGCCGGGGCGCGCGGGTGGAAATGCAGCGGGGCCGAGCCGTCGCCCCAGACAGGGAAGCTGAGCCCCCTCCTCCTCCTCCTCCTCCTCCTCCTCCTCCTCCTCCTCCTCCTCCTCCTCCTCCTCCTCCTCCTCCTCCTCCCCGCCCGAAGCGGACCCCGCCGCGGCAAAACTGCACAGGTGATGGCGCGGGCCCGGGCCGCCATGCAAGCGGGGAAGGCGCGCGCAAATGGGAGCCCCGCTCACTTGGGCGGCGCGAGCCCCCAGACCTCGGGCGTCCCGAAAAAATCAAAACGGAGGTTTTCCATAGTTTTGGGCCTCTCGGGGCCCACGCCGGGCCTCGGGACCGTCAAAAAACGACTCGGGATGAAAAACCGGTCCCGGGGAAGTGGTCGGGAGGTCGGGGGCCCGCGTCTCGAAAAAATCGAGACGTCGGATGTCTGGGCCCGTGGCCCTCGAGCTTCTCTGCCACTGCCGTCGCGCGCGCAGCTGACGCGAGATCCACCGCCTCCAGGGGGGTGCCGCGAGCGTCGCCAGCGCGAGCGCGGAGGGCGCCTCTAGCCTGACCTTCGATCCTGCGCCTCGGGCCTTCCGGGAAAGGGGAAGTAGCCGCTCGCTGCGCGCGGGCTGCCAGACAATGGGCGCCCTTGACTGCTGCCGCGGCTGATCTGAAACATCTCAGCAATCGTGCCGCCCGCCCTGCCCGCTGCAGCGATGGCATCGTGAAAGAGTTCAACGAATGGCTAGCGCGAGCGCAGGTGGCAACCGCAGATGCCCCCGCCGCAGCGATCATGCATTTAGGAGGGCACCAACTATACACCAACACCGATCCTGGCCAGGATCACCCTGGGCCTAGGATCGGTGTGTACTCCCTCCTGCCTGGGGCAAGAAAGCAAATACACCGATTCTGGGCCCAGGATTGGCCTGGCCAAGATCGGTGTTGGTGTATAGTTGGTGCCCTCCGATGCATTCTCGGTTCAGGCTGGAAAACGTTTGCCCGAGGCCGCGAGCGATGATCAACGGGCGCGCGGCTCTTGTCCGAGGCAAGGTCGAGGCCGCTCTCGCCGGCGTGCCCAGCTCGAGGACGTTGGCGGTGAGCTGCCTTCCAGGGGCGAAGCCGTGCCGCGACGACGAGCGGGCGTGGTTGGCGATGGGGGTGGGCGCCGCGCTGAGAGTTCCGAAGCCTGAGGATTTGAACGACGTCTGGGGGCCTGGCGGCGCCGCAGTCACTGCCATCTGAGTCTAGGAGCCCTCAGGGGGGGGAGCATGAAGCGCTTCGCCAGGCGCCGCGCGCGTTCGCCGACGGCCCATCAACCGGCGGCAAGCGCGACAGAACGCCAAGCTTCATGCTCGCGAGCCGCTCGCGCCGCGCACGGGAGACCGCCGAAGCCAGGTGCCAATCTCGCGGGCGACGTTCTCTGCAGGGCCGACTCCGTCGCGCCGCGGGGGGGGGGGGCGACGAAGCAGCGCGCTCGGGTGAACTTGTCGACGCGGGCAGCTGCGCCGCGCGGGGGCGAGGCTTGCTTCGAGAAGACTGGCGCCCAAGAGTCAGCGGGGGCACCCGGCGCCTCTGGGGCGGAGAAAAAGACGTCTCCGCCGACCTTGATAGCGCGCAGGGTGGAACGGGCAGAAGGATCCCAAATCTGAGCTGGTCTCGGCGCCGCCATGGCCATGCCCGACGATGGGCGATCAAGTCCCTTGCCCGCGTATCTAGCAGTCTGGATCCCCTCGACGTCCGCGGCCATTGCCGCGCGATCGAAAGCGGCGGGATCTACCGGCGCCGCGTCCCCACCAGCAACGCCAGTGAAGTCATGGGCAACGCTGGACGAGTTGCGCGCCTCGACCGCGGGCGGCGCATCCTGTCTCCGAATCGCCCCGGCAGCCTGGCACGCAAATGCACGCGGGGCTTCGATTGCGTTTGGTTCGTCATGCAGGGCCATGTTCGCGCTGTCGCAGGCTGCTGCAGACATCCACATCACGCACGCGTTCCGCAGCTTGGGGGGGGGGGGGGAACGGCCAGAGTCGCTATCATCGGCGGAAGCGAGCGCCTCCAATTTGCCCATGAAACCCTCCTGAAGTTTGTCATGGAATCGGGCTGGCAGTGGCTTCGACGGGCGACCGGCATTGAAGGGCCAGGCGGATAGCTGCCTGATCACATGCCTCTTCCTCCGAAAACTGCTCTGGCTTGCCGATGGCCGCGAAGTGGCGCGGCAGCTGGCGCGGCGTCCGTCTCGGCTCGGATAACCATGTGATCCAGACGGGCCAGCGTTTTGAATCGCTGCCCCGCGCGCGGGCCCTCGGGGGCGATCTCGAACATTCGGCGAAGAGTGGTTGGCCGCGTCTTTGACGGCGTCCTCGCAACATTTGTCGACTTGGCCGGGCGAGCCCGCTCAGGTTTGGCCGGAAAGAGCTGGCCAGCATCGACGGCGTTGAAATCGCCGCGAACAACCGCGAATCTGGAGCGGTGATCACCTTCAGCCCATGGCAAGTCTTCTCGCATCTCCTCGCGCACTCTGTGGGCCTGCCCAGGCGATGAATTATAAACGTTAACATGGCGAGCTTCAGCCTGCGCGTTCCACCGCGCCGCCTTTGGCGCTCTTCCCATGATTAGAATTGAAGCGGAGGGTGAGAGCGAAGCCGAAACAAGAAGGGGAACAACGGTTGCAACCCACCGCTGTCAGGACCTTCCCAGATCTCTGCAAGGGGACCGCGCGCACAGTGAGCCACCCTTTTCATGGGGGCCCTTAACTCGTCGATATCCGAATATACCCCGTGGATCGCAAAGATGGCGTTTGTGGCACTGGCTTGCGGAGGTACGCTGCTCTCTGCATTGCCATCAGACCACGCCAGCGAAACGGCACGCGCATTCCATGTCACGAAGGACATGGAAGCGGGCACGCGCGGAGAACAGCCATCGACTTTGTGCTCAGAGACGCCGTCGAAGATGCTACAGAGACCAATCGGGCGTAGCCGTCGGCTCGACGACCTGCTCGAAGATGCGCAGGAACTGCTTTCTAGACCACTCACGCCGCGGCAACGCGGCGTCATGCCAGAAACACTTGGTAAGATCGCGGCCAGGCTGGGGTTTCACCTGAAGAACAGGGCTCCAACTCTTTCAAGCCCAAGCGCTTTGACGGTCGAACAAGATGTTGTGACTGCAGAGCTGCTCACGCAACATGTTGGTGATCTTCTTGCTTTGATCTCCATATTGCTGTGAAATGGTTTCTGTCAGGGCCAACGTGAAGTTCTTGTGTGGAGCCACCCACGCAAGGACAGGAAAACGAACCCATTGACCTTGGCCAGGGAGACGCAGGATGGACAGAGCTTCCTGCCTCTTCTTTCCAGCAGTACCGCACTCACATGTGAACTGCACGGAGGATGTCTGGTCCATGCCGTCGCCACCGATTGTTGAGCAGTCAGAAATATCTGCAGTCTTGTGACGCACCTCGGTCGAAGCAATAACGTCAGTCCTGCGCATCATGGTGAGGGGGGGACCACAACCTTGAGGATGGTCCCACCAACATCACGCCTGAATCAGGTCGAATCCACCCGTGGCGGTGGGGGGTGGCTCGACTGGCCATTGCGAGCTCGTTACCTCACCCATAGAGGCACGCATATCGTTAATCTGCCTCGAGAGGTCGATCGTTTTGGTGTCCAAAGAGCTAACTCGAAACGATGATGCCGATCGGGGTTTTGAAGCGGCGTTCGACGGAGTCGATGTCTGGCCTGCTATGTTTTCCCACATCCTTTCTTCAAGCAGCAGGGACTGGCTAAAGGGCGGATTCCCGGGCTTTGATCGTAGCGAAGGCGAGTGATATTGCACAGGCGCAAGCTGTCTTGGCGTGTCCTGCTATGAGCTTACTCAGCTTGGCCTTGAACTCAGTGGACTTGGAGGAGAGCCCCGCGTCGATGGGTCCAGCGATGTACGGGTCCTAGGAGTTCGGGTCCATGCCGCCATCGCTGCCTCCGGAGGCGGAACTACCATGCCCGGAGCGGTCGTAAAGAGAGAGAGAGAGAGAAAAAAGAGAGAGAGAGAGAGAAAGCCAGGAGCATTAGGAATGCCGTTGCTGGCCTCGACTGCCTTCTTCTTCCGCCTGGCGAAAGCGTAGGGAATGCGGCTGGCGGCGGATAGGGCGACAAGAACTGGAAATGCCTCAGTTTACCCACCACCCCGCCTGCCGAGGTGGAGGGAATGTCTTCCTCCGCCCGGAGCTCACCAACAACCGATGTCTGCCCGCGGATCAGCAGTGCCGACCTCATCCCCAGGGAAGCGGGCATCTGGAGCAAAAGTGAATACGGATAGAAGAAAAAGGAAAATCAGAAGAGGAGGAGGAGGAGGAGGTTGAGGAGGAGGAGGAGGAAGGAGGAAATAAGAGGAATCAGGGATGATGATGATGATGATGTTGATGATGATGGTGCTGATGCTGATGATGCTGATGATAATGATGATACTGATGATGATGGCGATGATGATGCTGATGATTATGATGATGATGATGTTGCTGACGATGAAACAGCATAATAATATTGATGATGTTGGTGATGATGATGATGATGATGATGATGATGGTCATGATGGTGATGTTGATGATGCTGATGACGATGCGATGATGATAATGATGCTGATGATGGTGGTAATGATGTCTGGCGATGATGGTGATTTCGATGATGATGGTGAGGATGATGAGGAGGAGGAATACGGCGAGAGAGCGGAGAAGGAGGGAGAAGGAGGCCGAGGCAAAGAGCGGAGGAAGAGGGAGAAGGAGGAGGAGGAGGAGGAGGAAAAGGGAAAGGAGAAGAAGGGAGAGGAGGAGGAGGAGGCGTAAGAGGAGAGAGGAGGAGGAAAAAGAGGAGGAGGAAGTGGAGGAGGAGGAGGAAGAGAAGGAGGAAGAGGAGGAGGATGAGAGGGAGAAGGAGGAAGAGAAAGAGGAGGAGGAGGAGGAGGAGGAGAAGAAGAGAAAGGAGGAGGAGGAGGAGAAGGAGGGGGGAGGGAGGGAGGGAGGGAGGGAGGAAGGGAGGGAGAGGAGAGGAGGATGCTGATGATGATGATGATGATGATGATGATGATGATGATGATGATGATGATGATGATGATGATGATGATGAGATGATGATGATGATGATGATGATGATGATGATGATGCGGACGAGGACGAGGACGAGGACGAGGCGGAGGAGGGACGAGAAAGAGGGACGATACAATACGAAGCAGGGAGCATGGAGGAGTAAGTAGGACCATCCTGCCTGCTCCCTGCTATCTCTTTATTATTCTCCCTCCCTCTTCCCTTCGCGCCTATTCCACCACACTTCGCCCCCCTCTCCCTGTGCCTCCTCTTCCTCCTCCTCCGCAGCAGCAGCCTTGTCCTTCTAGTCCTCCTCTTCCTGCGTTTCCATCCTACCTCCTCCCTCCTTCTCCTTACCTCCTCCTTCCTGCACTTCCTGCTGCTGCCTCTCCTCCTCTTCCTCCTCCTTCTCCTCCTCCTCCTCATCCTTCATTCCTCGTCCTTATAGATAACTCCTCCCTGTCGCGCCCGGAGGCTGGTCGAAAGGGCGGGACGGGCGTTTCTCCTGAGACTTCCTTTCCATTTACGTATGATCCTGATGCTTATAAATTGCAACAGCTTCACGGATGGAGGGCGGGTGTTTCTTTCAATGTAGCTGCCGCCTTAGCGCCGCGCGCATTCGTTTACAAACAATCGCAAGGGCTTTACGGATTGATGGATTGAGGGCGGGCCGTTTTTAAAGTGTGGCTATCGCCGTAGCAACGCGCACATTCGTCTGAACACATGATAGATGTTTCACGCATTGATGCTGGTTCCTTTTCAAACGGTGGCTCTTGCCTTAACGCCGCACGCCTTCGTCTAAACAACTTGTACGAGTTGCACGGGTACCCATGGTTCACGTACGAAAAATTCTATTCTGAAGACTTTCAGGATTGTCAGGGCGCAACAGGTACGTTGATTCGCTGTGTTGAAATCCTGAATATGGTTTTTTGGCACGGTTCAGGATCGCCAAGACGAAACAGTCAAGTTGATTCGTGGCGTTGGAGGTCTGAGAATGGTGTTTTGCCCCGCTTCATGATCTTCGAACGATTGTATCCCAAAGGGGCACTTCCCTCAGTGGGCATGAACCCTTGTAAGGGGCTATCATGACAGAGCTTGGAGGGAGGGTTTATTCGAACATCGTTGATGAGTATTGGGTTTGCACTGGTCCTTCTTTCTCCTCCTCGTCCTCCTCCCCCTCCCTCTCGCCTCCTCGTCGGAGTGCGCGTGCGACTTCTTTGTGAGTCCAGCCGCCGCCATGGGCGGTGGGACAGCCCGCGACGCTGGCCCTGCCGGGGAAATTCAAAGGTACTGATACTGCTACCCCACGGCCCTCTCCTAGGGTGCGTTCTGACCACAACTTCGGAGCGACTCCAGCGGTGGCGACGAGAGCCTCCCAAGAGGCCGAAACAAGGGAAACCAAATGAAAGGCAACGGCATGATTACTAGGGGGCCACATGCGAACCCTACCCCTACCCCCCGTGATTTCTGGGGGGCAGGGGTAGGGTTCGCATATGTTCCCTAGTGACATAAACATAAAAACTCGGAGGTCCGCGCGGATTTCTCGGATCGGCGCTGGACCCCCCTCCCTGGCGCGCGGAGCGCGCCAGGGGCGGCGCCGGAGGCGCCGCTGGGGGGCCCCAGCGCCGATCCGCGAAATCCGCGCGGACCTCCGAGTTTTTATGCTTATGCCACTTTTCGTGCCCCTAGAAACAGGAGAAACCGAATGAAAGGCAACGGCATGGTTACCTTTTTCTCCTCGGACCTGCTGGCGCCAATGTGCCTCGCCAGCCTTCGCTGGGAGCGCGCCGGCCGCTGGTGGGCCCTGCGCCCTCCCAGGAGCGCAGCGGCAGCGGCCGGCTGCAAAGAGCCGCGGCCGCCGCCGTTCGCTCGGAAGCCAAAATGGCTCCGAGGAGGAGGAGGAGGAGGAGAAGGAGGAGGAGGAGGAGAAAGATGAGGAAGAGGAGGACGAGGAAAAGGAGGAGGAAACGGGGAGGAGGAGGAAGGAGAAGGAGGAGGAGGTGGAGGAGGAGGAGGAGGAACAGCAGGAGGAGGAGGAGGAACAGCAGGAGGAGGAGGAGGAGGAGGAGGAGAAGGAAAAAGGAGAGGAGGAGGATGAGGGGGAGGAGGAGGAGGAAGAGGAGGAGGAGGAGGAGGAAGAGGAGGAGGAGGAGAGGAGGAAACGGAGGAGGAAGAGGAGGAGGATGATGATGAGGAGGAGGAGAAAGAGGAGAGGAGGAGGAGGAGGAGGAGGAGGAGGAGGAGGAGGAGGAGGAGGAGGAGAAAAAAGGAGGAAAAGGAGGAGGACGACGAGGAAGAAGAGGAGGAAAAGGAGGAGGAGAATGAGAAAGAGGAAGATGAGGATGACGAGGGGGAAGGAGAGGAGAGGAGGAGGAGGAGGAGGAGGAACGGCAAGAGGAGGAGGGAAGGAAAAGGAGGAGGAAGAGGAAGGGAGAGGAGGAGGAGGAGGAGGAGGAGGAGGAGGAGGAGGAGGAGGAAGAGGAGGAGGAGGAGGACGGTTGGGGAGGAGGAGGAGGAGGAGGAGGAGGAGGAGGAGGAGGCGAGAGAGAGAGGGGGAGGCAGGATGATGAGGAGGAGCAGCAGCAGCCGCAGCAGCAGGTTGAAGCTCGAATCTCGAAGGAGAACGAAGAGGAGTATCTTCGCCAGCGAAAATCGCGAATATGGGAGGTGCCGCTGGCGCTGCAGCCGACACGCCCTGGACATCGTAACTATGGAAGGTGCTGCTGGCGCTGCAGCCGGCGCGTAAGTATGGTTCGTCGGCGTCTCTCCCCAAATCCGTGCGGCTTAGAGCTGCTGATCTGCCTGCTGTCGTAGTGGCTCCAATGCTGGCTGTGTGCTGTGGGGCTCGTCGAAATGTCGACGCTGGATGTAATCGAGAAATGGACGGCTCGTTGTGATCGGACCGGTTCCGCCAGACATTCGTGTCTCGCGGCCGACAAACCACATGGCAACTCTCCCCGATGGTTGGCTCGCATCCACTGGCCCGTCTGTGAAAAGCAGGGCCAATTCAGAGGGAATGTCTGGCGCCAGCGGCGGCGTAGGTGCCGGTGCCGATTGTGGCGGCCTGGTGGAGCTCGATCCGCGTGGTGCGCTGCTGCCGAGCGAGCGCACTGATGGCATGTAGGCCCAACTCGGCAGTTGCACGTCGAGGGCTGGCGGCGCGGGGGCAGCGGCCTCATTGCGGGGGCCGCCCAGCCAGTCCCGCCCCTGGTCCTGTCCCACAGGGAAGGCGCCGACAATTCGTGTCCAGGGTGGTAGTGCTGGTGGTGCTGCTGGTGCTGTCGGCGCGGAAGGCGCAGGATCCCCCGCTGCTGCCGAGTGGGGTTTGCAAGGCAGGTGCGCTACCCTCTGGCTGCGCAGAGGCTTGCACACGGCCCATAAGCTTGTCCATCTCCTGTCGAAGTCGTCGCAGCTCGGCTTCGTCGGGGTTGGGCGACGGGTGCTTGTGAAGATGATGTGCCCGCCCAACGTGGCCACTGACTGTGGCCGACCTGTTGCCGCGAACCGTCGGACGGCGAACTCGGCGAAATAGCTGCTGCTGCTGGCCGCGGCGCTGCCGATGCCTGCGCAGGCTGTCCGCTGGTCCAGGGGCCAGCGCTCTGCATGAGGCCACTTTCGCCCGAGCCTGCAGGTGCAGTCTGCATGTGGCTGGAGCGGTCCCTTATCGTCCAAACCGAATGAATGTCCGCCAGGGGCTGCTGCTCAGCTGGGCTCGGCGTGCCCTTGCTGCCCCAGAGATGACGATGGCGCGGGTGCTGCTGGGGCCCGGGCGTAGGCGCTCAGGAATAGAACGCGTCCTTGGCCACGGCGCCGTGGGCAGTCGCGCGCGAGGTGTTCCTCTGAGTCGCACTCGTGGCATGTGCGCCGCACGCCGTCGGGGCCCATGGGCTTGCCTTGACGGCTCGAGCCCGCGCCGCTGGTACTGCATCACCCTTTCCCCTTACCTTGGCTTTCCCGAAGCCCGCGAATGTCTTTCAGAAGTCGTTCTCGGGCAATTCGGCAGCCCTTGCCATGGCCCTTGTCCGTCCTCTTGACGACTCTCCAGACGCGGCGCGCGGGCTCGCGGTTGTCGAAGCGTCGCCATCGTGCTTTGGCGCGATCGTAAGCCCAGAACAGATGCGCGCAGCGCTGTTCCACGGGGGCATCACGTAGCTCGGGGTCGTCGGCGGCAATGTCACCTTCGCCGAATGAGCTGATGGTGTCGCAGTCGGCGCCTACGTCTGACAACTGATGGGAGTGCCCCCCGCGCGTGCGGCGGCGGCGCAGGCAGGCTCTGCGCCGCCCCTGGTGCAGATGAACCCAGGCCGCCCCAACTCGATCCGATTGTAGTGCCATCGGGAATTTGAGCCTGATCTTGCGCAGGCGCACCCACGAGGAATGTCTGCCGTTGGGTCGATTGCGCCGCTGAGGCGAGATTGCCAGGCGACCCTTCAATCATGCGCCCAAAGCGTCGAAGTTGATTCGTCATATGTGCGAGTCGTGTTGCGTTTGCCGGGCGTGCCATGTTGCAGCGCTGCAAGACCATTGCCAGCTGCGCGCTCGACACTCCCACCGCGCGCAAGAGGAGGAAGCTGACACCCTCAATCATGAGTTGACTAACTTGTTGAGCGCGGTTGCGGTGGATGTCGAAGCGCGCGAGGAGGCTATCAATGCGTTTCCGCGGCAGTCGGTTGAAGTTCATGAGCGCTGAGACTGCCGAGGCCCGCTCCCCCTCACCCAGTTGGCCCCAGCGTTCGGCCGAACTGCGCATAGGGAAGGTCAGCGGTGGCACTGGGTTGCCTTTGATTGTTCATCCCTTGAAGAGGACGGCTGGCGTCGGCCACGCGCTCTCGGGCCATGCCGGTGAAACGCGACGAGACGTGGGGCGCCTGGCGGAACTCGTTACGGTCGGACTTCGCCGCTGACCATGTCATCACCTCCCGCGCCCAACGTTGGAAGGGAACCCGAGTTTGTTGCTCAGACTCCCTGGTGCGGAGGTGCCGCGTTGCCGTCCACAGTGCCCATGCAGGCGGGGCAGCTGGCCAGGGTAATCGCGCCCACTCCGACGGCCTTCCATCCGGAATGGAGGTCCCTCCGTAGCTCTAGGAGGTGCTGGAGGCTGGGGGCCCACCGACGGCCGCGCTCTAACCGTGAGCCTCGCGCATTCGGTCTCGCCTTCTGTCGCGTCGTTGCGGCTGTCGTCACGTTCGCGACACTCCGCAACATAGTTGCGGTGGTGCCCCTCGTGTTTTGTGCCGACGGGGTCTCGTCCTGCCAGCCTGTAGAGAATCGGTGGGTTTGCTGAGCTGTGAGGACGTAGACACGGAACCCCAGGCCTGCTGCGCTGCTCCGTCTGGCAATACAGTTGTCCAGCGCCCCAGCGAATTCTAACTCGCATTCTCGCTCTTATCCGCCTGCTTCCCCCAAGGCGCTCGCAAAGCAATTGCGGGGCGCTCGGGGCCGCGGGCCGACGCTGTTGATGGGAACCGGTCCTTCCTCATTTTCAGCTTGAGGTCCGATGGGCCTCGGAAGCAATCCAAAAACAAGTGGAATACGCCCCAGGGGTGAGGCAGGCTGCGGCGGCGGCGGGTGGGCGCCGCGCTTCTCGTAGGTCGTAACGTCGTGTTTGTGCAGGTAGTTGTCCTGGCTGTGCGTCTGGCATGGTGATCCGGAGGATGAACCTTGCCGAACACGGAGTTGATGATGGTGAAAAAAACAGGGCGAACAAAATGTCGGCGGAGAAACCGCGCGGCCATGACGGTGGGAAAAACGCAGGTATTGGAAGGGAGCCTGAGCACCGCTACCAACTGTGGAAACGGAGGGTAAGGTACGGTATGGGAACATGTTGTCCTGAGCGGACGTGCGCACGGTAAAACTAAAACGCGTCTAACACATGCACGTAGGTCGGCCGACCTGCGTACCCAGGCCGAAACGGCAACAGAAAAGGGGGAACAGTAAGGGAGGCAAGGAGGCAGTAAGACACAGTACATAAGGGAGGAGGACAAGGAGGAGGAGGACAAAGAGGAGGAGGAGGAGGAGGAGGAGGAGGAGGAGGAGGAGGAGGAGGAGGAGGAGGAGGGGGCGGAGGAGGAAGAGGAGCGGCAGCAGCAGCGATGGGACCAGAGTGAGGAGCAGGCAGACAGGAGGAGGAGGAGGAGGAGGAGGAGGAGGAGGAGGAGGAGGAGGAGGAGAAGAGGAGAGGAGGAGAGGATAAGTAGGAGGAGGAGGAGGTGAAGAAGGGATGAGGAGGAGGACGAGGACGAGGATAAGGAGGAGGAACATATTGAACTCAGGGTGAATCAGCGATGCTGGAATACACCCTCCAGTCCTGAGTCCCTACTTTTATTCCCCGCAAGCCTTCCTTTGTGCTGCTGAATTACCCCCTTGGAAGCAAGATGAAACCGTTCTTAAAAGGAGCCGCCTTCCGTCTGTCTGGTAGGGAAAATGCTAAACAGAGCAATACGAATCACTACGACGAGCAGAACTAGCACAACAAGACAGGGGCTAACTACCAGACAGAACGAGCAACGACTACTGCAGCTTGAACGCGTCACAGGACAAGCCAAGCAATACAGATCACAACTGAAGAACAGCGACGACTCACATAACAGCGAAGAGGCCACCATCGCAACTCTACGGCAAGAACTACAAGAACAAATCCGCCGATCCGGCGTGTGAGTTTGAGACTGTCTCAGCTACAGCCTACAGCCTAGAGCCTGAGCTTCAGCTCTGCTGAGGGGCCGGGGTGCCTCTGTCGGGGAAGGAGGGGAGGGGAGGCGGGGGGACGAGTTGTGGTGCGCTTTCCTTTCCGGGCCCACGAGGGCCCCAAGACGGGCCAAGAGGGCCCCAAGACCCCCCAAGACGGCCCCAGAAGCCCCCTAGACGCCCAAAGAGCGCTCCGAGACGCC